GCAGCTATAGTACGAGCAGGACCGAGTATCGAATTTCACTTACAGAAAGAAGACGCTCTCAAAGATGATACAGAATTGCGTAAGAATGTGAAGAGGGTTTTAGAAGTGATCGTAGGATTATTAAAGGATAGAGCAGTAGGTAGTGAGGAACCCGCAACTAAGAAGCGCCGTGTAGAAGAGATAATCAAGAAAAAATAATTGTATAGGACACTAGCATAGACGTCATGTATCCCGGGCTACGTCCCGAAACTTCGTATTTATTTTTCGCATGTAATAATAAAAAAAAAAATTGAATTTTGCAGGTATATATGATAAGCGAAAAATAAACTGCCATTCCAGGACTATAAACAATTTATTTATATCATAATCACGCCTTAGCAAAATGCTCGCGCTAGAGCCAATATATGTTCTGGCCCTAAAACACTAGTCTTGGTAAATGCATCATATAATGCACCCGGTCTATGCTTCGAAGGAGATAAATTTGAATGATGGAGGAATTTCATAAGCACGCCGTTCCTCCAAGTTTTCATCTCTTCTTGCTCCCAAGTTATTCCTATTAACGTAGTCAAGTTATCAATGGAATAGTTCATTTGGATTAGATTCTGGAGCGAAGATCATTTATTTTTTTCTAGAATAAATAGACTCATTCCTCCCATAACAGCAGACTCCACACTAATAATAAATTTTTCACGAATATCTGCTCTAATTGCTAAGACAGATAAAGGCGGAATTAAAGCTGGATAGTAGAAGTCGGCTAAGGGATCAAAATCAAATTCACCTACATATATGATTCCAATGTCTTCTAAATAATCTGAGAGTCTATCAACATATTTATAGCCTTCACGAATCAACTTCTGGAATAGCTTTCTGTTTGGATCGATCCATCGGCCGGTTAGAATGTTGAGTACTGTTTTTTCCGCGTCCATAGATGATGATTTATGCTGTGGTATATGATTAATCGTTTACGATATACTTTTTCCACCACAGTTCAATTAGGATTTTCTCATTTTGAAATTCGAATTCTATAATGTGAAAGGTGCAAGAATATAATAAATGGAACGTCTTACCTGTCCCCACATTAAAAAAGATGGAAGTGTTTGTGGCCGTGTTTGCACTCGCTTGGTGGGATGCTCGCTCCACTGGAAATCAGGTGCAAATAATATGCTAAAATCTCCATGTAGAATATGCGATAAACCTACATTATCTTATACGGGCTATTGCTCCAAACATGCCAAAAAAATTTATCGTCGTCTTGAAAGGGAAAGGCAACTAGAGTCTTATCACAGCCAAAAGGGATGTATTACTCCAGAGTACTAACTGGTGCTGTCTTAAACATTTGCCCCAAACTATGTATTATTTTTTGCATATAATAATAAAAAAAATTCTTGGCAAAACCGTGAACAATGTTCACGATCAGCCAAAATGGCCTACATAATTTTCTGATTTTGAATACTAGCATTATAGAGCATTAAAATATTATCATGTCAACCGAACTTGATTCATTGAGACAACGCATCATTGAGCTTGAGGCCGAGAATGCTGAGGTTAAGGCCAAATATATCAAGGTTATGGATGAGAATGCAGAGGTCAAGGCTGAGAATGCAAAGTTAAGGTGCGCTTTAGAAGAACATGAAGCTAGGTTCACGAGACTAGAGCAGAGAGATAAAGAAAAGACCAACCTTATTACCAAAATGGATGATGATATCAAGGAAATCAAACAATCATCGGCCAATGCCAGCTCTGTCGAGAACCCAAACAATGTTGTTCGACTGGGTAAACTAGAAAAGATGGCAAAACCATCAAATACATCTGATAGCACATTTAATTCTAATGTATGCAAACCTATTCGCACAGAAACTAAGTCATTGGAGGATAAAGAGACGGATGATTTCTTGGATGAGGTACATAAGAAAAGGGTTAGTGATGAGATAAGGCAACGTAACAAAGAGAAGAAAATTCAGCGTGAGTAAACTGTCCCTTCCGACTTATCATGTGTTACAGAAACTTCTCTAAGAAATCATGATGAAAACGAAAGTAACACAAAAACCGTGAACATTGTTCACGATCAAGAAAAGATTTCATTGGAAGACTCTGTGCAAAAAATGCCTGAAAGACTTAATGAGGATGTTTCCCGGATTCAGGCTTAGTAACTGAAATTGTACGAGACTTATTACAAGGATTTCTGGTGGATGATTTCCAGAGAGAATTTATTAATACCGAATTTATTGATAGAGAGCATTCTAATTCTTCACCTGTCACAGAAGAGCTTGCCCGTTTATTTCATCAAGCGAGTATAGCAAGGAAAAATTCGATCAAAGCTAAGCAGGAAGAGATTTCATCTTGGGGTCGCTACTCTGAAAGATTCGAAGATAAGGTCATAAAGCTCAGATCCGAGGATAAAAATCTTAAGGATAAGACAGCAAGGTCCCAGATTTATAATGAAATGAAACAATACCTTTCAGGCGTTTCTGATGAATATTTGCGCAAGATAACAAGCAAAGCAAGGAAGATCAATAAGCTATTTGGATATGATTACGATCCTATAACTCTGAAAAAGATTAAAGGCATATGGTTAATCAGGTTACCTATAGTGTTTCCAGACTCACTAACCGGTCATATGGAGTAACTATCACCCAGCACAGTAGGATTTATTTTTAAAACGTGTATTACGTAATACAGAAATACTTAATTATGACTCACACTTGTAAATCTTTAACATATAAGACCAAAAGATAAGGATTTACTAATTATCTATCAACGTGCTTAATCCCGTTACTGGCCGTTAGTAACACGATTTATGTATAAATGGTGACTTGGGACAGAAACAAGTACGTTTAGTTTGTTTCACTAATTTAGCATATACGGTACTTATACACAGTTCTCTAGTCCATATATTTGGCTAAATAATCTGAAAGAACCATGGCAGAGGCGTTTGATCAGGGAATTCGTGGAACCTTTCAGGTAAGGAGAGTGAGTACAAAAAAGATGCTTGAACAAGTTCATAAAACGTATTTTATGTAGAACGTACGGAATAATAACACCTTTCAACGAGAGGGGAAGAAGAGTACCCTTAACCGACTTTCGTCCGATATTGATATTCACCATTTGGGACGCTTGGTCTATTCTTTGGACCTATGCTTACCCGCCTTCAGGGAAGATGAAATTAAAAACGCAAATAGATTATTTAATGAGAAGTCTGGAATGCTTAGCAGAAAGCTTGATAACAATTCAACCGAATCAAAATTTACGACCATCAACTGTAAACATAACGTACTCAAGAGAGACTCAAAAAGGAATAGCTGTGAAGTACATGATGGGTGCTTCAGTTCGTTGCAGAGTACCAATGAACTGCAAGGTGACAAGTTCGAGAGTACAAAATATGCAGACGTTGTATCGGGCATCAGATGTGGTGAATGTCCTAACCGACGATCAATTGGAATTTTGCAGACACGATTTGGGGAATTGTTCAGAATCGGTACCCTGGGAAATAATGCGTGGACAACTGATGGAACCCCTTCAGAAACGTGTCGTTTTATACACGCGCACTCTTTCCCTACCCAAGAATCATCAACCATTGAAGATAAAGGAACCGTGTCCCAAGTGCCAGCATGTGCAGTCCAGAATGGAAAAACATTGCGTTACAACAATAATTCCATATTAGTTGATGCTTTTGGGAAATCTGGACGATCTCGTATTGGAGCTTTTATTGGTTTTAAGATTCTCAAGGATAGTGATCCAAAAGAACTAACTAGCTATATAACAAGCGTTTCAGAATTTGGTTTTAATCATATAATTATTATTGGGGAGATTTACTCTGGAATTGTCTTTTTAGATTGTTATGGTCGTGTTTTTGTGTGGGAAGATGAAGGTCAAATGGTGTTTCCACTTGGGGGTTCCCCTGAAGAAGCATCAAAAAGATCAATAGGAGGAGATAAGTTGGGATGGTTTGTGGAGAATGGAAATGTATATATGTATATTAAGAAACCTCAACGTAAGTATGCAAAAAGTTGTTATGGTGATATGTACATTTGATTGCTGTCATTTTTTATTTAATTTTTGTTCTATTTCTTCTAGCTTGTTTCTTCCAGTTTGATACAATAAGGGGAACGTAAAACAAGAAAGACAAAAGTTCGGGGTGAAGAGTATCATTAATATGATTAAAATTATTAATTATGCATTATTTTAAAAAATTAAATGTATCTTAACTACTCACATTATCTTTTTAACCTAATAAAGTATGCTATTGCGCCACAAGTCATATACGATTGTTATCCTTAGTATTATGTATCTGTATTCCACATATATAAATATCAATAAAGTTTCGCCCCTCGGGGATATAATTTTTTACATATGTACAGATGAGGAAGTGTTAAAGTGTGCGTAACGGCATTGTATATTTTTGATCGCTCAACAGTAGAGAAAAATAAATCATGTGAGATCGATGATCACCTGAAATGCGCAGAAGATATCGGTAAAATTCTTGCCGGCTGTGCGACGTAAGATTGGCATATATATTCGCATGATTTATTTTTGCATGTCATGTCTCCGGCCACGCTATTATCATATCAATAAAACAATATTCGGATATAGACATTTCTTCAAACAATCATTATTTCGCATATGGGATTTGAGGATGTGTATGCTAATCACGAAGTCATTTTTATAGATTTGCAGGGTAGGGATTGGAAAAGATTCGATTAAAATCGTATCTATCGAAAATCGACAAGAATCGATTTTAAATCGATTATCGAATAAAAATCAAATCTACTTATTGTGGCGCAGTATCGTTAATTAATGACACAAGTTAGTATTAAACAACAATAATATTTATACCAAATGCGGGGGCCCGTTAAAGCGGGATAGAATCACGTGATTTAAAATTATTATGATTTGATAAATTTTTTATAAACTAAAATTAAAGTGAACTTGAAAATCATTAGATAAGTGTATTTCGGCCTGCTCCACAAGTTTACTTAGGGAGAAAAAGTGGAAAAAGAACAATGTTTTTGACTTTACATATGAGCAAACGAATTTTGCTGATCATACCCAAAAAAAGATAGATCAATTTTAACGAAATTGAAAAAGTTGAATAAATCGAAAACGGTGTTCTAAACCTCATTTTGTGCTCTAAGTAAACTTGCAGAACAGGTCAAAATGCACTTAGTATATATTTATTTGGAAGGTTTTATATATAATAAAGAGTTTTATTTAAAAAAAAGAAAAATTTCGAAAGTCACGTGATTCTACTCTGCTTTAACGGTCCCCCAAATGCGGAAGTATTACGTCATTACGTGATGAAGCAGCACAGAAAACTTATGATCGTCATGTCGCACTGATAAACATATCTACATATCGCGCTAGATTTTTTCACTTTTTTCTCACCTTTTTATTTTGGCTAAGTAGTCTAATGATCTGATTTATCACAAAGCTTAAAGTTACACAGCTTACGGCGTGATTCGTGAAACAGCAATGGACACCATAGGAAATACTTCACAAAATATCTCACAGGTTAGTTAATTTTGCATATTTTTTTGTATTATCGAAGCTTTTAGAGTATATCCTATAACAGTCACTGGAAATGTCACAATAAAAAAAGGCAAATTTTTTTTATTAAGGTCGAGAAAAAAAAATTTATGGCGCAGTACCCTCTTCAAATGTATAATACAAATATATAATTAAAGTTGGCCAAAATTAATTAAATCTGGTTAAATTTGCCGATCAACAATTTATAATTCTGGCCAAATTTTTGTTAATTCTGGCCAATTCCGTAATGCCGGCCTAAATTTTGTTAAATTAAAAAAAATTAAATCATATGTAACACCAAATTTACACAATATGATCGATCTAAATTAAATAATAAAAAACGAACATATTGACCGCTTCTATAACCTTATTAAAAAAAATCTCTCATACTCTTTGTTATTCAACTTTAATCTTCGCTGGAAGTTGTTGTATTTTTGATATTAAAAATAATAAAAGGTAAGAAAAACTTGAAATTTACCAAAGATAACAAGAAATTTAAAGTTTTAAACAAAAACTAGTAAAATATAACGTGTTTTTTTCTTAAAAAAAAAATTTTTTTTTTTAGATTTATATAATGGATTTAGAGAAAAGCTTAGAATATGAGAATTTAGAGGAAAGTTTAACGGATAAGAATGAAACTTTTTATAGTGAATATGATGAAAATGAGAGTTTCGATAATGTAGAGGAAAATGAATCTTTAGAATCTTTATTTGAATTAGATTTTAATATGCTTACAAATGCAAAAAAATTAGTTCAACAAAATATTTCAGAGGAAGAAGACAATTGGGAGAATCTGAGTGATATAGGAAGTAATTTTTCTGAGACAGAATCTGATGATGAGCGTGATGAAATAATTACTAAAGTACCAAATAATGAAAATTTAACTCCATGCGTTGTAATTGATATGTTAGATGGTAAAATTCAGCAGTGCAACTCTAAAAAAAAATTGAGACGACTTTGGCAAATGATTGGAACTTGGCAAATTGACGATGAAGAAGTTAAAGCAAAAAATTTTTTAATTGAAGATTTAGGTGTTTGTTATTCGCATTTTTTATATGATCAAAATCAATTGCATTCATCAAATTTAAAACAAACTAAAGATTATATGGAAAGTATTATTCATAGACGCAGATGTTTATTTTGTAATAAAAATAAAATTTTTTTTAGTCGTGGTCCTAATTGTGAAAATCACTCATATAAAGTTATAGGTAAAAATATTCAGGTACCTTGTATA